AAAACAGTAATATAAATGATCCCTCTGTATACCAACGAGAGCCCCCTAGCTTAACACAATGAGTATTGCCTAGATTTTGTATTCACATAGGCAGCCTTTGAATTTGAAATCTGCAGACATATAGGCTGTTTGGTGACATAAGTCAAGGATCAGAGCACTAGGTAAGGGATGTGTTTTCTATAGCAACTGACTAAAATTCATATTGTAAATGGATTGGATTTGGTGGAGTTTGTTCTGTTTGCTTGCTGAGGTTTACTGCACTTTGAAATTGGTGCTTTGCTCATGGCACTGTTTATGTAATAAGTGCAATTATAAATGTCATATGCTTCCTTAAATCATTGTTGTAATTTAAAGTGGTTGTAAAGCTTATTTTTTTTTAAATTACAATAACAAACATGTTATACTTACCTGTTCTGTGCAATGGTTTCACACAAAGCAGCCCTGATCCTCCTCTTATTGGGTCCCCTACTGGTGCTCCTGGCTCCTGCCGAGTGCCCCCAGAGAAAGCAGCTTGCTCTGGGGGCACTCGTGCATGCTCACTCCTGAGCCAACCCTGTATGTTCATGCTCAACCCCACCCCGTTCTCACTGGCTGTGATTGACAGCAGCAGGAGCCAATGGCTCCTATTGCTCTGTCTCAGCTTATGAGGAGACAGATACCTGGGAGAGCCAAAGCTCTCGTGCACAGCACTGGATTGTAATCAGGCTCAGGTAAGTATTAGGGGGCTGATGGAGAGCTGCACACTGAAGGTTTTTTACCTTCAGCCTTTTAGAACTACTTTAATTACAGAACTAGATAGAAATAATATACTCCTGCTGTAGGGATGTATCGACCATGACATATGCTATTTCAGAAAAGGAGTCGTTCATTAAGGCTCCATGCACACTGGCTTAAAAATCTTAAAAAGTTTTGTGTTTTGCCTGTAGAAGCAGCTCAGTGTTATCCTGTGTCCATGCACATTAGGGCGATTAGAAGCACATTTTAAGCTCAACATTTAGAGGCAGGAAAAAAAGAACCCTTCTGGTTTGCGTTTTTGATTGGAGCTTTCTGGCAGAAAAAAATGTTAAACTCTCCTAAACTGTGTATGAAAATGCTCTATATCAGCATTTTTTTCTGCCAAAGGAACTAGCAATTTTGTTAGCTCAATGTGCATGGAGCCTAAGGGTGCATCCTGTAAAGAAGCACATATGGGGGTTATTTATTGAAGAAGTACAGCATATTCATTTTGTAAATTAATATGCAAAGAATACCTAGACATACAAAAAAAGATTATTAAAAATGGATTTTTGTGCAAACATGATTGGTTGATTTGGGTCAACACAATTTCACCTCTTTCACTAAGCTAAGTGAGAATTCACTTTTTGCTCTAATGAATTTTCATTTAGCTTAGTCCCATCATGGGCAAGCAAAAATATATATTTTTTAAATTCCTTGCACATGATTGGATATTGAATATTTGCTTAGCTTCACATCATTCACTAGGCTAGATGAAAGCTCACTTTGCAGTGTAAAAATTAACTTAAACATTCTTCACACCTTCAGTAAATCAAACCGAAGGTGTATGGATCAAAATGTCTGTGAGGATTTCTGTACTTTCACCTGCATATAGAATGTATTCATATAACACTTACATATAACAATTACATTGCATAAGGTGCATTACTACAGCTATTTGTATGGTTTTATTCTATGTAGTTTTTAACCTGTAGCAAGAAATCTAGCCTTCTTCTATGTCCTTACGATGACTGGAAAAAACCCATAGTATCAATTATGCACACAGCACACCTTGTTCCAACACTGAATCCACCCCCATCCATTTGCTTTGTCTTGCTCAAGATGCTTTCAGCTTCTGTGACAGATTTTTATAACATTCATCAAGCAGGTATTACTGCAGGTCAAAATTCATTTTCGGGAATCAGAAAAAGAAGCAGTAAGTGTATACTACCTAAGATCATGCAACTGTACTGGTGATTTTTCTTTTAACCGAAGAAAAAAAAACACAAAAAGGAAATGTAGATTTAGAAATTGTTAACACTGTAATTGGTATCCAGCATTTTCTGTGCATTTTTTAGTTATTGTGTTTCAAAAAGCAGTTACTACTGCAACTAATAAAGCATTTAGCAATGAAAAATGAGCATATATGGCTGCTCACACCAAGCTGATTTGGACTTCACTGATGAGATACAGAGTTATTTTTCAATATTCAGATTCAGGCAAGCTTGTTTTAAATTAGCCTAAATATATTGAAATGGTATTTTATTTTTTGGGATAATGTTAATTTCAACATCTCTAAAATTTAAAGAAAATATGTAAATAAACAGTTAATTTAATGCACTTTTAATTTAAAGTATGCCAGGTACTCTCCCTTTGTGTATATATATATATATATATATATATATATTTATTTATTTTTTTTGCACTTACGTTTTTTGCATTTTGCATTTTAATTTGGTGGAAAATAAATTTCATAGTTACCAAGTCCTGTACAAGCTTTGTGTACTTCAAAGGTCTTTTTTATAGCTGTTGTGATAACATTAGACAATCAAATGGTTTAGAGCAGGGACACACGCCTTCTGTCTTAAGCTGGCCATACATGGCTCAGTGTTTTTTTATTCAACCAGTGGGTTGAATGAAAAAACTGAATCTATTCCCCAATCCACACATTCATGGTGTGGAAAGGAAAAGGGGCAACTGTAAATGCAAAGATCTAGAGGGCAGCTAGGAGATGATCTTGACCATACAGGTGAAACTCAAAAAATTAGAATATTGTGCAAAAGTTAATTTATTTCAGTAATGCAACTTAAAAGGTGAAACTAATCTATGAGATAGACTCATTACATACAAAGCAAGATAGTTCAAGCCGTAATTTGTCATAATTGTGGTGATTATGGCTTACAGCTCATGAAAACCCCAAATCCACAATCTCAGAAAATTATAATATTACATGCAATCAATAAAACAAGGATTGTACATAGAACAATATCGGACCTCTGAAAAGTATAAGCATGCATATGTACTCAGTACTTGGTTTGGGCCCCTTTTGCAGCAATTACTGCCTCAATGCGGCGTGGCATGGAAGCTATCAGCCTGTGGCACTGCTGAGGTGTTATGGAAGACCAGGATGCTTCAATAGCGGCCTTCAGCTCTTCTGCATTGTTCGGTCTCATGTCTCTCATCTTTCTCTTGGCAATGCCCCATAGATTCTCTATGGGGTTCAGGTTAGGTGAGTTTGCTGGCCAATCAAGCACAGTAATTCACAGAATTTTAAAGGGATCCTAGCATCTTTAGCATCTATAGAGTGGATGCTAAAGAGGGTTTAGGATCCCTTTAAAATTCCTTAAAGGCTTCTTACTCACCAAGTTCTGGTGAGTGCATTTGATGTTCGTTTCTGCACGGGTGGAAGCTGGAAGTTTTTTTTCTTTATATTTGAAGAATTTCTGGAATTTTTGATCTTTATTACACATGGACTTTTGGTGTTTTATAATAATATATTTGATACTGTGATTGGCCCACAGCTATCATATGGTGTCTGTTAACCTCTACCATGTGATTAGCTGTAGCCAATCACAACAATAAGCAAGATGTCATGAATGGCTTTCCATTCCATAAACTTATTGCTTATAATAGTGATCATCACTGTTAAAAGCAATAAAAAAAATCCCTGATCACTTCCCCAAGAGTAGCACAGTGACACTATGGTGATACTGAACTACTCTGATGACATTGTGTAAAAAAAAACAGTAAAAAAAAGTTTAAAAAATAGAAAATTGAATAAATTGTTTTATTTATTTTTTTACATACTGTCATCAATCAGAATCCCTGATCTCTGCCTCATCAGTCATATGATGATGCTCAGCTGCACTGGTGACAGTATGTGAAAAAAAAATTGTGAAAAAAAAACTCTTAATTTTCCAAAATATTGAGACAAAAAAAATTACAATTGCAAAAAATGTGCCATGCTTCTTACTAAATTTCTTGGACTGTCTACTTTCAAAAAGGGGTCATTTGGGGGGTATTTGTACTGTTCTGGCATTTTAGAACCTCAATAAATGAGATAGGCTGGCAGTACATCAGGATTGCTTAATTTTCAAATGTATATACCATAGTTTGTAGACTGTAACTTTCACACAAACTAAATAATATACTGATTTTTGATCATTTTACCAAAGAAATGTAGAAGACTACATTTTTGCTTGAATTTAGGAAAAAAGATTATTTATTTGCAAACGTGTTTTTTCAAAGTTTGGGTATTTTTTATTTATATAGCAAAAAAATAAAAAAAACCCAGTTGTTAAATACCACCAAAAGAAAGCTTTATCTGTGTGAAAAAAATGGTATACATTTAATTTGGGTACAGCGTTGCATGACCGAGCGGTCATGCAACACTACCCATATGAATTTTTTAGCATTTTTCTGAGAAAGATAAAGCTTTATTTTGGTGGTATTTATTCACCACTGGGATTTTTATTTTTTTTGCTATGTAAATGAAAAAGTCCAAAAATTTTGAAGTGTTTTTCTTATAAAATTTTGCAAATAAATAGTATTTCATCGTAAATCTTGGCCAAAATTTATTCTGTTATATTTTTAGTAAAAAAAAATAACCCAAATTAGTTTATAACCAAAAATTATAATTTTTAAACTTTTTTTTTTTTTTAATATTATTATTTTTTATTTATTTTTTTAACATACCGTCACCCTAGCAGTACAGTGTCACCATGGTGACACTGTACTACTTGTGAGGGGTGATGAAGATTTTTTTTTTTTTCCACTGATTGCTTTTACACTCATAAAGGCTGTAAAAGCAATAATTTCTCCTTCTCTCTAGCTGCATTCTTGCAGCCATTGAGAACTACTGTGTGAGCTGTGATTGGTCACAGCTTGTCACATGGTACAAGGCTGTTGTGAATAGCCTTGTACCATGTGATCTCTGTGATCATTCACAGATTTCACACGTAGTAAGCAATGATGTCAGAAATGATATCTTGCTTACTACTCTGCATGTGATCACTGATTGGCCAATCAGTGATCACATGATCGGGACCTCGCACAGAGGTCCCGTATGCCGATCGGTGTTCCACTGTGCCCGGAGGACACAGCGGGCACTGGATCATGGTGCTGCGCTCTCCCAGGGAGCGTGCAGCACAAGCAGGGTGCGGGCAGGCAGTTTATAAACGGCCACCCGGCCCTGCACTGCCACCGTCCGGCCGTTTATATACATGGGCCGGACGGGACGGGAGGTGGTTAAAGTAGTACAGTTCTGAATAGCAAAAAATGCCCTGGTTATGAAGGGGTTCCGGAGGTACCAAAAACCTTTCGGAGGTCAAGTGCTTAACTTTCATCTGTAGGTTTGTAACTGCCAATCCCTCTATGAACTTCCAAGTATACTTATGCTCCTGAGAAAGAGTGACACAAAAAAAGCGTAGGTCAGCCTTTGCATCAAGGCTGTTACACTTGAACCTTTGAGAGTTGCATATGGAGCTCAAACATCTAAGCCTACAGTATATGCAATGAGATATAGTTTAATGTTCTGTAATAAAGATGCAATTAAATATTTTTTATGTACTAACTTTGGTGTTTAAATTATATCTGGTGCTATGTAAGTCCTACAGACCCATGACTCATTTTATTTGGATAAACTATTTTTGGGATGTTGGCACCCATATAGCCTCTGATCACACCAGTTATCTTTTGCTATTTCACTCCATATTTCCATATTACTATAAATCCAGGTTTCAGGTAAATTCCTTGCTTAGTTGCAGTTTGCTGATTTCTCTGTGCCTGCTCCCAACTCTCTAACCCTTTCTGTCCCTGTATACCCCACTCCTCGCCTTACCCCCCTCCACTATTTACCTTGCTGATTTTATTTATTCCTTTCCTATCCTTAATTTGGGGCTGTAGTCTCACCCTCCCATAATTTACTGGGGCCTTGTCAACAGTTTTTACCTAATCATGCCTGGTATTACGGATATCACTCTGAACATATAGGAGCTCAACTCCCTGCACAAAAATACTTATATAATCTGTTTGCAAGAAACACAGTTTTCTTTTACCTAATTGCCCAAATATTTTTCTGCCACAATCTCACAAACATTTCTAGACAGTAATAACGGCATAAATCTATCAGAACTACACAGAGCTCTGGTTTTGCTGGTTTCTACATTTTATAGCCAATTAGGTTATTGCTGATCCATCAGGATGGTGTTTGCTTCTTTTGGGTTTGCTTCAAGCCCTTGAGGTCAGTATCATATCCTATTACACGTGTAAATAAAACGTGTTTAGAATCTAAATAATCAAAACTATAAAAGCAGCTTGCACATTCAACAGGCAAAAACTTAAATAATAACAAACAAATTGCAGTGCTATCTATACATGCATCTTAATAGTATAGCAAAAAAGGATTAATAATAAATGCACATAAGTCTCAGCAAAGTCCATATGGGATCCACATATGCAGGCAGAAGCTTGTTCATAAAGAAAAAAGCCTGATCCAGAAAGAAGACCATCACCTGCCACCCAAAAGAATTGGCCTCTTACCAGAAGGTTTGACCGGACAAAGGATTGGCTAAAATGTGCAGTAAATCCTGAGCACTGCTGTTCTTCCCTCTCTTCAAGAAGCCCATAGAGACTCAATGGAACGGCCTATTACTTGCGAGGAAATTCGGAATGCCTTGAAAATCCTCGCTCCTCATAAATCCCTAGGACCAGATGGCCTTCCTCATAACTATTATAAAGCTTTCCCTGACCTCCTGATTCCACTCTTGGTGTGTCACAATCATGCCCACAGGGAGAGGTGCGGTTCTCCATTTTGCCCCAAACTTATACATTTTGGTATTGCTCTTAAACTCATATGCCATCACCTGAGTGGGGGGAAGGTGTAGTATCGTGCATACAAGAGCCAGGCACAGGGTCACTGTATTAAGAAGGCTTCATGTATCTCCTCATTCCCCCTCCCTCAGGAATGCAAGCAGCGTATGATGCTGAGCCCTGCCTAACAATTCTTTGCCAAATAAGGCTTGGCTTGTCCATTGTGGGAAGAGATTTTGAGTAGAAAAAGAGAAGCTGTTAGTTTTTGTGTGTAGTCAGAGAAGTGAGGACCGTCCTCGATATAACATCTATTGGACAGAAAGCAAAGGAGAATCTCGTGGCAACAACGAAACCCAGTGCGAGACCAGAAATCCCTTTTTTAGCTCATCAGACTTGAAACTGCTTAACCCCAGGCATTTATTTGGCAAGTACTCATTTACCTAAACTTCTTTCTGTTATCTGTTTGCTGTGCTGTTGTGCTCTGTATATTTATATATATATATATTGGTTACATCTTCTTTCTGTAAATATTTTTACTGCACCCTTTTGACCTTTTGGTAATAAATCTTACTTTCTGAAAGTGTTGAACTGTTTCTATAGCTCTTGAATGTAACTTACAAGTCCCTGCCGCTGAAGAACGCTACTATGAGTATTTAACCCTCTGTATAACCGTTCTGTTAGAGATAGCGGGATACTGACGGTTAACCAATCATCCTAGTGTATTGCTGAGTTTCCTCTTTCTCTGTATAAAAAGGAGGTGGTGGCAGTGTGAAGGGTTAATTGCGTAATTAACCTGTCCCAGTAACAATCGCGTTCAGGCTGCAGGTACACAGATTGTAGTCCATTAGCTGGAAAATCTTTGTGCAGGGTGCAGCTGGGCATGGCATTGTTACGCACGTGACAGCGCGGTTTTAGATTGGCTAGTCCTTCAGTCACGAGTTTGGTGAGAAGGGCTGTGGTCTGACGCCGCGCCAGTCACATGGCCCATTATTTTAATTATTTATGGGATGGGGGACTAGTGCCTCCCAATGAAAATAAAGCATTCATCAGTGTTATTCCTAAACCCAACAAAGATGCTACTGTAGTTTCTGATTATCGACCTATCTCCTTAATTAATTGTCAAGATCCTTACTAAAATCTTGGCTTTACGCCTCCATACATTTTTTTCCATTTATATTCATGAAGATCAATCAGGATTCATCAGCAGTCGACAAACACTTCGTTGAACTTTGGCTCTGTTGTCAGCTGTACAATCCAATTGGGACAAATCCTCACTGAGGGAAGTCCTCCTGTTATCGTTAGATCTCAACAATTTATCTTGGGACTATCTATTTCAGATGTTGGGTAGGTTTGGGTTTGGCCCTTCTTTTATGACTTTAATGTGGGCTCTTTATTCTAATCCTTCGGCTCAGGTCTTCATTCGTGGATATAAATCAGCTCCTCTGTCTATTGAGCGAGGTACTAGACAGGGCTGCCCCCTTCCCCCTCTACTTTTTTTGTTCTGGTAATGGAACCACTTGCTATTGCTATCCGCTCTGATCCTACTATTTCTGGCATCTACTGTGGCCAACAAGATCATAAATGTGCCTTATTTGCTGACGATGTCCTTATGTATACGTATATCTACCCCTCAAACATCTTTACCTAGTCTCCTCCACTTATTTCACTGTTTTTCTATGGCCCCGGGTCTTACCCTTAATTCCTCTAAAACAATTGCTTTAAATATTTCTGTACCTGATTCGAAGGTTCAATATCTTCGGGACAACTTTGATTTTCAATGGGCCTCCCGTTCTCTCTCTTATTTGGGGATTCATCTCATGAGCTCTATCTCGTCGCTATATAAGGCCAATTACCCCCCCTCTCTTAAACGAAAGACGATTGGGAGGATCTTCCTTTATCCTGGTTTGGTAGAATTAATTCTGTTAAGATGACCTCTCTGCCAAGACTATTATATTACTTTCGGACTTTACCGAACATGGTACCCAAACAGGAACTTTAACTTTTACAAGCAGCAGTCTCTAGATTTATATGGAAAGGAAAACATCCTCAGGTTAACAAGTCAACTTCATTTTCCCTAAAAAAGCATGGCGGTTTGGGACTTCCTAAACTTATGATTTATTTTCAGGCGGCTCACATAGCATAGCTCTCTTGTACTACCGCTAGGGGTTATGTTCCCCAGTGGGTTGGCATTGAGGCCTTATATTGCCATCCCTATGCTATTGGCACCCTCATGTGGCTTCCTAGTCAGTTGCGTCCTCCTATCCTTTGTCCTTCGTTATCCTATTCTTTAATGGTCTGGGATAGATAGCGGGACCACAAACCTCTTTATTCTCTACATACCCCTTTAGCTCCACTCTTTTGTAAACCTGAGTTTACTCCTGGTCTGTCACCATCTGCATTTCAAAGGATTTTTTGCATATTGGGGACTAGACGGACTTTGTCCTCGTTCTCTCCAATACTTTCTGACAAATTGCCAGATGCCCTCCATTGAATTGTTACCATTGTTTACAATACCATCAAATTATATCTTTTATCACCAGTAAACTCAAATTACTTGTAGAACCTTGCAAACTCACCCCTCTAGAGATCTCCCGTGGGGCTACTGGGATAATGAAAGGTCGATTATTCACTATTTATGCTTCCCTTGTTGATCCACTTACTAAGCTACCCTTTATGATTCAGTGGGAAAGGGATTTGAACAATTATCTAGATCTGGACACTTGGCGCACTACGGCCAATGCTCTATCCAAAATTTCAATTAATACTACTCTTATCAAATCTAATTATAAAACACTTCTTCGCTGGTACTTAGTTCCTACATGTCTTGCTAAAATGTACCCATCTGTGTCACCTAGTTGCTTTCAACATTGCGAACAAGAGGGCACTATGCTCCACATATGGTGGAAATGTCCTGTGGTTCATAAATTTTGGATCTGAAAATTTAACTTCATTTATTCGGTAACGCGAATTAATATTCATAGATCACCGGAAGTAGCCTTATTTCATCTGTTGCCCACTGATATTTCCAAGAAATCAGTTAAATTAATTATCTATCTTTTGTTGGCGGCACAAATTACTATAGCTAGATGTTGGAGACAGTCAACAATTCCGCTAGACTTGGTCAAACAGAAACTTAATTGGATTATGATAAATGATAAACTTACTAGTATCGTTAACAATAATACTTCTAAATTTGAGTATACATGGGAACCATGGATTAGGTATATCTCTATTATTTAATGGACCTATGGCTGGCCCTCTTCTCTTTTATTGCTTTCCTCTTTCCTTCTTTCTTCTCTCCTTTTTTTTTCTTTTTTTCCCGATATATTCTTTATCCTCTTCTTCAACTCTTTTTGTTTATTTTTTTTTTTGGTCTCCTTATTTTTGTTAGCTG